TAAGCAGCGGTTGCAGCCCCCGTCCGGTTCCAACGCCTTACGTCTGGGTTCTGGAGCCAGCCGGACCATGAAGGATCGCCCCTCTATCGGGAATTTTGGGGGAATTCTGCCCCTCTACTCAGCTCTGGTGAGACCTCACCTGGAGTACTGCGTCCAGCTCTGGAGCCCTCAGCACAAGAAGGACATGGAACTGTTGGAACGGGTCCAGAGGAGGGCTACAAAAATGATCCGAGGGCTGGAGCACCTCTCCTATGAGGACAGGCTGAGAGAGTTGGGCTTGTTCAGTCTGGAGAAAAGGAGGCTACGGGGAGACCTGATTGCGGCCTTCCAGTACCTAAAGGGGGCCTATAGGAAAGATGGGGAACGTCTTTTTAGTAGGGCCAGCTGTGTTAGGACAAGGGGAAATGGTTTTAAACTAGAACAGGGTAGGTTCAGGCTAGAGGTAAGGAAGAAATTTTTTACAATGAGGGTGGTGAAACACTGGAACAGGTTGCCCAGAGAGGTAGTGGAGGCCCCATCCCTGGGAACATTCAAGGCCAGGTTGGATGGGGCTCTGAGCAACCTGATCTAGTTAGCAGTGTCCCTGCTCACTGCAGGGGGGTTGGACTAGATGACCACTAGTGGTCCCTTCCAACCCTAAACATTCTATGATTCTATTCTATGATTAATGCATGTGTCCGGCGGAGATCGAGCGTCAGCTAGTGAGAGATGTAAAGCGCCATCAGCTGATGTCCCCCCCCTTCCCTCATCCCTCGACGGTTTGGCTCAAATGGGATTACAGCAGAACAAGCACTGCTCGTGATAAACCCAGGGAGGCACACACTGCTGACTCTGAGTAGCTGTCAGCGTTCAGCACAACGTGGTTCCAGAGTGAGTAGGTATTTTTCTCATACAAAACACTAAGATATCCTGTTTTCCCCCCAAACACACCACCTATGCACACAATAAACTGGCAAAATTGTTCCTACTGTCCACCACAGTAATTTCCAATACAGTTCTCCTGCTGGAGAATTTAAACCACAAATGCTGGGACAAAGTAACTACTCAAATGTTCATGACCCTCCAGTTCTCACATTACTGCCTGCGATTTGTCACACATTTATTTTAGGGAATTCCTAAATTTTACATCATTTGCAGAAAAGTCGCTTTCAACTGAAAGTAATCTTTTGCTAACTATACAGATACTCAACTAATAACTAAGTAGCTAACTGTCTTAGCAGAAATAAAATTGAGCAAAAAATTAATATAAAAATCAGCACACAGCACAAAATTTAACACTTGAGAGGTTCTGGGGAAAAAAAAAAGTACAGGCACGCAGGTGAATTTTCAGAAGTCCTGAAGGACTGGGCAGTGGGATTACCAGAAGAGGCTATCAAATAGGGCCAACTTTGCATGCTACTGTGGGTATTTTTAATTGCCCCACGGGAGGCAAAAAAGCAGGGAGATCTGGTGAGTGCAAGCACACAGCTAAGCCAACCATTTATGCCAGAGCTTAAAACTGAGAACAACAGTTGGAGGGAGAATGGCTTGGTGACAGGAATATCAGCCTGGACACCCTGGACCTGCATTCAAATTCCTCCATGATCCATCCCACCCTTCACCCTTTCACAGAAAACAGAGTTCACAGTGTGAAAGACTGGGTGCAGGGGAACACCCAGGAATTAATCGTTAAGAACCAAGCTACTGCCTGTTAACGAATAAACAATGACAACCAAAAAAAGGCCTTTACCTCCCTGGACTCTTGTGTAGTGTTACTGTCTGCCATTCTCCAGTTTAGCAATTAATTGAAATGCAGTCATCTCTATCTTGGTCCCTACAAGTTTATGCACTATAATATAATTTAAAAAAATACAATTTTAAAACCTATTTATCAAATACTGCACAAAGACATTTTAGCCAGTTTTGGCCAGCAGCAGTGGGAAGAAAACACCTCAGTGCATTTATAAGCAAGTTTATTTAGCTTTCTTATACAATATATATATTGATATATATATATGTATGAAATATACCCACAAGTTATTACAAAAGTGTCCAAACACAAGTTCTAGCACAGTACAGTAAAAAGTGGTATTCTAGGAGGAATATCTGAGATCTACAGTATCTTGGTTTCAAGAGGAAATATTTCCATTAGACATTGTAGGCGGAAGAGGACACATTTCCTCCATGGCCTGTCCAGTTAGTATGGATAAATACACCTGGCTTCGATAATAATTCGTATGTATGCGCACCAAAGTAATCGCGCTGAGCCTAGAATAAGAACACACACACAAGACACATGAATATCACAATTATATGAGTACTACAGGTTGCACCTACTGATACTTGACGATAGGAATACTAGAAATAATATCTGACTCCAGTATAACATTCAAAGTTATTTTCTCATTATTAGCAAAATCACTGCAATGAAACATTTACTACTATCTAGTAATTAAGAGTTCTGTAGAAAGACAAGTATATTATTTCTGGTAGGCAGTAATCTAAAACCCAAGCATTTACATACATCCAAAGGTTCAAAGATACTGACTTCTTTATAAAGCATCTTGATTCAACGATATCATTACCCTTGGTTCACAGATGCAATACTAACACGTGCTGGGCACTGTCATACCAGTATCTCTGGTGTTCTTTATCCAGGCATCTCATAATATTTTATTGCCCTGAATTTCAGGTTTAACAGAATTATATTAGGCAATCTATGCCTTTAACTTTACATTGTTGGAGTGACGAGGACATACTGCCATCATGGCCTTTAGACCACTATTTAAATAACAATGTGATGGTATTTCAGTGGCCAGAAGATCTGCTACACTATTTCAGGCACCTACCTGAATCAGGTTAGCTGGTAATATTTCATGCCTGTATCCATCATAAAAAGAAAGTGCTGTAGTGAAGCAGGGCATAGGGATACCAATCTGCACTCCAGTACTGATTACAGGGGGGGGGGGGGGGGGGGGGGAGAGAAAAAAAGAAACAAACTAATCTGTGCTTGCTCAGAGGTATGTGCAGGCACATGAACTAGTCTAGTATAACAGCATGTGCCATTTCATGTTATATGAAATATAGCAACCAAGTCTGAGCAAATGCAGCAGTAAATTCCTGATTTTATATTAACAAGGTTGATCCAAAATAATGGCAAGTAAGACAGGATTAACAAACAGGACAATAAAAGTGCAGACATACACTTCATATGCAATCAACCCACAGCCTCCAGCAAGGATGCTGTTCTTTCACATAAACATAATCAGTGCATCCCAAAAGCATGAACACAGTGGGGAACATACTGAGCAAACACTGAGGCATTTTAAGGACCTCTAATCAAGCACAGTACAAAACCTGCCCCAGGGCATATGAGGTCAGCACAATACTTCAAACAGATATGTCGATAATCCTCATTTCAACTGTACCTCTGATTTAGTAACCTGCATGGAATATTCAGCTTCAGTTAAAATAATTATTAATGATAATATATGACTTTGTTGGTCAGATAATCTGGTTTTAGTTCTGCCTGTCAACTCCGTCCAAATCAGGACACTGTTTGGACAGACCTAAGTCTAATGAATGGTGGGTCTGGAGCACTGTTATTTTGGTGCTACTGCAAACACCGGCAATTGAGCAGAGCTGTACAACTGAAATCCAAGTGCACAGTAGGCACGAGATACAGGGCAGTGATGAGAATGTTCACACAGGCTAGACATTTTTTCCTGACATTGTGGTCGTTCTGAATTGCCAGATTTCTGCCTAAGGCTCTTCTGTAATAGTAAAATGGAAGCCTTAAGTTTCAAACAGTACCTTGGCTAGTATCAGAGAGAAGAACCATGACACAAGGACTGTATGTTTGTTTGCTCCTGTATTATCTTTAGGTTGACAGTACAACTATACCTTGCAACATTACACGAGACCTCCATTCATCGCTTGATGTATCTGGATGCTGATTTATACAGTAGTGCTTCAGTGATGCAACCCCCTTTTTTCCTTCATTTAGAACTAACATTCTCCAACTTTCTGATGAAATAGAAGCAAGAGGCATTTGTAGGCATTTTTTCAAGGACAGGTCGTTAACCCTGCTGTCTGGCAAAATTCTAATTTGGACCTCAGTATAGCCTACCTTATCACAGTAACTTTCTTGTTCAATTTCAACCAGCTCCAACTACATAGTTTTTTTTTCCTGTCCTGGTCCTGTAAGACCAATATGATCTACTAAAGAAGGGTACCTGAAGCCATAGATGATGAATTCCTACACCCGTACATTACGAGCTTAAGGACTGTTCGGAGATCTTTGGGATTAAGGATGCTGTATAAATAGGTTTCAAGGACCTTTTTATTTTTCAGTCTAAATATACTTGGTGAAGGTAACTCCTGGGAAAGACGCTGAAGAACTGTAACTATTGTTTTTATGCTCTTCCTTCCTTGGAAACTCACCTGACAGTTTTCAACAGCTGTCTTAAAGAAATTATCCAACAGCAAATTCTGGAGCTCAGGGTTTCGATCAAAAGCATCTTTGATTTTTCCCAGGAACACACTAGGCAGAACACATGCAAACCAGGAATAAAATTTCACAGCTTCTAACAAAGGCCCAGAATCCAAAACTTACAGTGCCAGAATTTGATTTAGCCAGACTCCATATATTGAGAAAGATGCAAACAAAACGAAGACTGAAGAAAATCTGCAGTAGCTAAGCCACCAGAAAATTGGCTTCATCTGGTAACCTTTAACACTGTCTACAGCAACAGTCTCTCAGTATCTTAGCACCAGATTAATTCCATGGATTTTCAAAAAAAATCTCTAGGCTTGTCAGGCTAGCACCACATAAACCAAATTGCCTCCTCTTCTCCCTTCAGCAACTAAATTACAGAATCACAGAATCAAAGAATCTCAAGGGTTGGAAGGGACCTCAGGAGCTCAGCCAGTCTAACTCCCCTGCTAAAGCAGGTTCTCCTAGAGCATGTTGCACAGGACTTCATCCGGGCGGGCTTTGAATATCTCCAGAGAAGGAGACTCTAAACCCCCCCTGGACAGCCTGTTCCAGTGCTCTGTCACCCTCAAAGTAAAGATATTACCTCCTCATCTTAATTACCTTCTGATGATGCAGCCTCCCCTCCACATCAGTGCAATGCCACCGTAATTCAGTGTCCAGCCAAATTCTTTGGCTGCTTGTCTCAGCAGCATGAAGCCTTGAGCATATGAGATAATCTTGGAAGCATACAGGGCCTAAAAAAAACCAAATTCATATTCCAAGTGAAGTCCCAGAAAGTGGAAGGAGAAACTTCACAGTCTACATACTCTGTTCAGTCCACATCTCATCAGGACTGAGTACAGTAGCCACATTCCAGCTATTTCAGAACCAAAATATTCTTTCCAATTGTTGGAAACTTTAGTCTCAACAGAGAAAGATCAAGAGCTATTATCCCCATTACAAAGACAGGAGTGTTGAGGGGCAAAAGTAAGCTCCTGTGCATGAATTATGACCTCTGCACCCCAGCTAGTTGTCACTGCCCCCTGTGGCTTAGATTTTAATTCCTTCAGGACAGTTCTTTGGTTAGGAAGGAACTGGTCACACTATGCTTTGTGGACACCACTAGTCAATGCACAATGGGATGGCTGAAAGCAGGAACCAATTGTCATGAAATATAAACACAAGAACTCCTCACCAGCGTCTACAGCATCCAAACCCCACTTTGATACGCAGCTCTAATACAGCACTCTGGCAAGCACAATGACTTACCTTGCGTATGTCCTCCAGAAAGGCCTTCTTGTTCCCGCTGAACTGAGTCATTTTAGGCCCATCCAGCAGCTTACTGGCCTGTACTCTCTCATCCTTGAGGGAAGACAGGCACCGTGCAAACACAGCTTCCCCTTTAAGTATGGTAGGAAAGAGGAGATAATTAGAAAGTTCAGCATCACTGTTAAGGTCCGAGATACTTGTCCTCAAGCACACAGTGAGAATGCTACTGAATGATGAGCCATGTCGATAGTGAAACAGTCATGTGGGAAGAGAAGTGTACAAATGAATTATTTCAACAGCATTACTGAGAGACCAAACTGCCAGTCAGCACAACCACTGGGTAAATATCGACTGATACAGCTTTCAAATGATAAAGGAAAAAAAAAAAAGCCACAAGTCATTCACATGAAAAATTATCCTCAGGAACCTTCACCAGCTCTTAGTTTTAAGAATTTACTTTGAAATCTCTTCCTATCTATAAAAGACAGACAGCATTGCACTGCAGTCTAGGGACAGGCAAGGCTGAAGACTTCACTAATTATTGTATCATGCTTTGAAGATAAAAAAGCTGATACATTTTGCCAACTCACAGTAACCAGATGTGCTTTGAAATACACACATGCAAAATAAGGGCAAGAATAAATCAGCAGGTTAACTTATAAGAGGAAGTAAGTTTTACAAATCCGGTAGGCCCATAACACTAGTATTCAGAAGCCCATAAGAAAGTTTTATAACATCACTAAGCAGGTTACTAAATGTCATTCGCCAGGGCTAAGGAGTTAGCCAAGCAGAATCTTCAGCTCCTAAAGAGAAAGCCTGAATGCCAATCTCTTGATCTGTCTCAGTCAATTCCTAATCATGCTGGTTTAAGTTGTACTTATTTGTAATTGAAGATGGTATTGTTAAATGGAGGAAAAAAAAAAAAAGTTTCCTTCCTAGGGTCTGACAGAAAGAAAGCAATCAAGTTTATTATAGTTTTCATACTGAACTTTTCTTTCACTTTTTAAGTGAGCTGTGAATTACAAAAAAAAAAAACCCAAACCAACAAAAACGAAATCAACCAACCAAAACAAAAAAAAAGAATGAGTAATATTTTCACAAGATTCTGGATCATCTCTGCAGTAGGATTAACAGGCCATAACAAAATCAGAACTGGCTCCTCTCCATTTCTGCAAAAACTTCCTTCTACACTGGGGAGGAAAAGCGTGGGGGGGGGAAATCAGGAAAAAGCAGGAGTAGCATGACTCTGCTTTTACAAGCAGAAGTCTGCAAGTCATGCTTATGCAGTAAAACCGCACACAGAGCAACTGCCCTAAGAACGGCCACGTTTGCACAAGGGCTATTGCACACACTTCCCTATCAACTCATCGTTACCTAACAGTGCTCCCCTGGCATTGCAGAAGACTGCTCAGGGAGCGTCTCCTCCACCCTCGGTCTCTGCAAGAACCCCGAACAGGAGAACGTTGACAGTGCAAGCAAGAAACACTGTTTCAAGCAGAGTACTGAAAGACTGTAGCTGTAGTAGAATATTAAAACCATTTACAAAACTTGTCTGGTAAAAATATGTTGTTGGAATGCAGCCATGTTTCTCTGATAGCTATCACTGCAGTTACTCTTTTCTAGCATACTGAATGTATTTTTTCTTATCTTCTAATACAACAGGCTTGACCAGCCAAGGCAAAGGGAAAAGGGGTAGAGAAAGCATGAATATTAAAGCAAATCCAAGAGCAAAGAACCTGTTGAGTCAACTTATTTACTCAAAGAGAAAGTCTACATTGGACCTGTGGTAAGAGAGCACTCTAAATGTGTTACAGATGTATTACAACTCCTGTCACAATTCCATTCAGAGGCCAGGTTACATAAAAGGGTAGGTAACAAGACTGTTAGGTATGTATGTGAGCAGATAAATTCTCACACTTTAGGGATATCATTCACAGCAATTACAAAATACATTTCCATCATCTTAGTTTGGCTTTGGATCAGCAGCTTTGTAAGTCATGAAACAAAAACCAGCAGCAGTCCAGAGTGTATAAAGAAACACCACAATCAACTGTTCTGGTGAAAAAACAGCAGCCACCATCAGAGGGTAGGAGCCTGCTGCTATTCTCAAAATAGTCTGTGCTCCTCAACCCATAACACAGCCAGCCTGGCCCTTGTGTTCCTGTTTAGTCACTGTTGAGTTAGCTAACTTATACTGACACACAGAAATAGAAGACTGAGGTAGATATCTGAAAAATAACTTTATGCCTTCAGAGAGGTCTAAGTACTTATCAAGCAGTGGTCAAGTAACAAGGTTTTGACGGTGTCCTGTCTCCCCCTTTTTTCTTTTTTTTTAAACATTTTTAAGGCTATGATGGGATCTGGAGTAGCAGATCAGGTGGAGGATTACAGAGAGGAACGTTGCATCAGTCTAGCCTGACACTTCTAGCACGGCTCTTATGTTTACTTGTCACCGAGTCATCACCAGCACCGCGAAGATACCACGGACAAGCCATGATAACAGTACGACCGACATTTGAGAAACAAGGTACAGCCAAGCCCAGCAAAGAAACAGCTCTCAAGGGCAGAAAGACTGCAACAGCTATACCTAGAAGAGCCTCTTCTGCGAGCCAAGCCCTAGTGTGGGCTTATTTCTGAGGTTACTGTTACCATGCTCTTTCCTGTGATGTGGTATATGCAGGTAGGAAAGACAAAGCCAGATCAAAGAACCAGTTACCTATGAGTGTGACAGGGACTCCATATTCCAGGGCAGAAATGGCTGTCCACTTTCCAGTGCCTTTTTGTCCTGCGCTGTCCTTGATCTTTGGGAGGAGGTATTTGCCATCGCTGTCTTTGAATTTGAGAATATTGGCTGTGATTTCAATCAGGAAAGAGTCCAACTCTGTCTTATTCCATTCCTGAAATACCTGGAAGAGGAGAGAAAAATATATATAAAATATATGTATACACACACGCACACCCCAATTTACTATGTATCTACTATATATATCAACTGATTTATTGATACATATATACATATATATCCAACTGGGAAGGCAATGGCATAGACCATCTTGTTGCCTGTCATCACAGGCACTGAAGGCTGGAAAAACATCTGCTCTTTCAAGACACATCATACTTATGGACTTACTTCAACAAGGTTTTTGCAGATTTGCCTGCTTGATTACAACGCTCAATGTTTTATTAGGTTTTTCAGGCAAGGTAATTCATATCTCTACACAAGAAGGTGCTTCCTGGGGAGAAATCAACTGCAGAATGGGAGAGTTCAGGCAACTTTATAAACATTTAGGTGTATGTGCTGGCTGCTCTCTACTTCATTTGAAGCTCAGGAATATCGTGCACTGCCCCTGGCAGAAGGCACGTCAGAAGAATTAACTTCATGTACATATAGCAGCTTCACCCAAGCCCCACTGCCTCCAACAACGCAGACAGTCGCTATGGCTCAAGAAAGCAAGACACGAAAAACTCCGGATCACCTTTGACATCTCATCGTGCTCCATGCCCACCACATCTTTCATCAAGTGATAGGCCTCACAGATCAGCTGCATGTCTCCATATTCAATCCCATTGTGTACCATCTTCACAAAGTGTCCAGCGCCCTCATCTCCTACCTGTCAAGAGACATCAAAAAATGCAATCAGCAACACTGCTGTTATCACTTCCAGTGTTTAATACCTGCCCATGGCTTCCTTCCGCCTAAAGGAAGGAAGGAAGGAAGCCCAATACTAACTGAAAACACTGTAGGGTCACAGATCCATTTAGGTCTCCCAGGACATGACCCAGCCATAAAACTTTATCTTTCCATTGTATGGGCGATGGTAGATTTGAAGTGAATGCAGTCAGCCAGAAAATCACCCTGCTAACATTGCTGGTTTTATTAAGCACAAACGTGCATAAGCTTCAGCAACCAAACTACCTAAGCATGGATCTAACCACAAATTAAGGTCAGTACCAAATAAATATTTACCCAGTCACAACAAGGTTCCCCAGATCCCACTTTAGCAGCAATGCTTTGAAATATGGTCTTGATGTGGGGCCTGTGGGGAGAAATAACATGCCTCAGCAGATAGGCAAAGGACACCAACACCACAAGGAAAAAAAAAAATTTCCATTGGTATGATGCATCCTTCTGTAACCCGCCAAAAGGCAGCGTGGGGTTAAGGCATGCTGACAGGTGGATAACCCACTGCACAGCAATGTCAAATAAAACGTATGTTTTACCCAGAACGAGACACTGTTTGCAAGAAATGGGGACAGCCCATGTCATGTTAACAGCACTGTGCAGACAAGCTTCATGTACCTGAAAGAACCCAAATACTACCTTCTCCATTTTAGAAATGGGGAAATAGAGGCAGGTTATGATACAGGCTCACACTCACGAGAGGATCAGTAGCAGAGCTGAAACAAAATCTTATTTTGTTCTATAGCCACAAGAAAAATCCAGGGTGATCTGGAGGAGGAGAGGGAAGGAGGGAAGAAACTCCAAGAATGCAAGTCAGGATATAGTTGTCTGCATTACTGCAGTAATTAGGAGCTTTTGTCACTGCCAGGCTCCCCAAGTGTAATAAATTGCTTAGCCAACAGGAGAGCACTACAGAACACCAAGTTTGGAGCAACCTAAAATGACCACAGGGAAAGGAGCATGGGTGGCACATGAGCTGCATGTGCTGTGAAAAGAGCGGGGGGCAATGTTCAGGTAAGGGTGGCAGAGAGAAGCTGTCGTTGCTGAGCTGTTCATGGCAAAAAGATGATCAGATAGCAGACTACTGTGATGTTGTTTCTGGCTTTGTGCCATCAAATTTGAACAGGCTGATATTGATGTGAAATGCTAAGGCAAACAACAGGGCCTTAAGAGATTCTAGGGCTCAGATAAAGCCCAGACACACCTTTTCTTTCTACATTTACAGAGAGAATGAGCAACCAGGGATAAGTCTAGTATTAACATTGATGTACAGTCCTTTACACCAACATGAGTACAAAACAGCAGGGCAGCATGGCAGAAACTTGCAAAAAAAATTGATTTATTAAATAGTCAGTATAAACATCTACTGAAGCCTCCTTTTATAACATGTGTCACTGCAGGGATGTTTGCTGCTGCTGCTGCCTGTTTCATCGTTAACAGCTTTCCAAGTATGTAGGGTTCCAAAAGAAAAATCATGATCAAGAACAATACTTTTCTAAAGTTTCAGCAAAATTCTTTTCTCCCCGGCATACTTTGCTCCCTTCAGATTTCTGTAGGTAATTACTACTTTCGCCTGTGAATTCCTGGAAGAAAATCCCGCCTTTGTTTTGCCTGCCATGAAAGCTCAGCACTGCCCTGTGACCCCAGCTAGGTTGAGAAATCTTGAGCCTTGAGGAAGTTCAATGGCAACATATCTTGTTTTCTCCACACCCACGCCCTCCTCCTTCCCACCCTCAGCTCTCAACATGAATAGAAGACTATTGTTGCAGACCATTCTGAAGAAGAATATATGAGCTCAGAGCTTACCAGGCTTCTTTGGCTCCTCCTGGCATGAGCGAAGGACCATATCTGGCACCCTCCTCTCCACCACTAACACCGCTTCCAACAAATAAGATGCCCTTTTCCTGTAGTTCCTTACAACGTCTCTGGAACAAAGAGCAGAGCAGCATTATTTAATTGCTTTTAATGCCAGAGCCTTGCAAACAAAGGTTAGCAATTCAGACCTCAAATTAGGTTTTCAATCCTGCTTTGAACATGCTAGAAGACAACCTCAGAGAAAGCTTGTACATACACCAAAGCAACCATCAGAAACTTCCTGTTGCTTTGACATGGATCCTTGCAAAAGAGACACACTGAGAAAACAAAGTCCTTTTAAGCACTGGATAGAAAAGAGCAATACTGAGGCTGGAAAAGGCTCAGAATTAAGTGTCAGGTGCACCCATGCTGCGTGCAAAGGTGTGGGGGAAGCAGATTAGGCCCAAGGTGAACTTGCTGAGTTCACTGCGGAGTACTGCAGAGTGAAGGTGCAAGCTTGGACAACTAAGGGAAACTAATTCCCTCCGAGTGGGAGAGAAGCACAGGCTGAGCTCCCTAAGTATTAATCTTCATTTAGTACCTGTTTTTCCCTCTGGCATGGCCAACTCACTTATCCAAGATCAGGATGCCAAAGCAGAAAGACTGATACCAGCACCCCTTCTAAGATTCAGAAGTACCGATCCAAATACAGTATTTTCATGTAAGCATCCCAGATATGCTAACGTATTCTATAGTTACAGTCTGCTTACAAGCAGGCTTTTTTGTTGTTGATTTTTGGAAAAACAGATAATTACTCTGCTGTTTTCATTACCAAGGCAGCCAAACCAGCAGTTCTGTCTTACTGTATTGTCCCATGGTCACATAGGTTTGAGATATACCAACAAATCTACAAATATCCTTAGATTTTTCAAATCTCCCTGAAAACTCTTTAAGATCGTAACAGCAAATTTTCTAAAGGCCTTCACTCTTTAAAAAATGTCAATAAAAATATTCTTTGATGATATGGGCAACTTTTAGAAAAACACAGAACAGTCCTTAACAATTGCTTTTAACAGGCTACACGATCTAGTTGTGCAGAGGTAACTCAGTTTCGCCTCCCCTGAGCAGAAGGGAGATGGCATCTTATTGACTGATTGTTCTGATGATCGCAGGAGAAAGAATCATGTGTATTTTATTCTTCTGCTTTGGGTAGAAAACAGGCTTACCGTGGTATCTCTATACTCGGAATTCCCACCATCAATTATGATGTCTCCAGTTTCCAACAATGGCACCTGCCAAAAATAAACCAGTATTTTAGTTTTCTCCACGCATTCAAAACCTCATTAGTAACGGATAATTGAGATCTACCAGAGGAAACTTCTCCAAAAGTCAGCAAGAAGTCACAGGTAGGAAGAATATTTGCCTCACCAATTTATTGATGAAGTCATCCACTGCATTTCCAGCCTTCACCAGCAAGATAATGCGACGTGGCTTCTTTAACTTGGAGACCATCTCTTCCAGGCTGTGAGCACCAATCACTTTGGTTCCCTTGGCCTCATTGGCCAGAAAATCATCCACTTTGGAAACCGTCCTGTTAAAAGCACAAACCTGGGGGAGTGAGAAAACATGTTAATAAAAGCTGCCAATGGAACAGTTACTTTAGCTCAGACTACAAGTTACAGAAGCAAGATTCAACATCACGTGTTCTCCCACTTCCACCTTCCCCAAAGACACAGAGCAGGGATGAACCTGCAGCATGTCTCTGCAAGTGCCTTGGGAACCGATGGTTAATGGCCAAGCCCAAAGCAAACTTCAGGGAAAAACCATACATAACTGACGCATCAGGTGGCTTAGCTGAGCACAGGCATGCAATGCTATTCTTCTCTGGAAACAGGACAAAGGGCAGCCTAGGTTATAACTAAAAGGAGGAAACAATACCCATCACAAGGAAAAAAAAAAAAAAAACCACCACCACCACAAAATGCTCAGCTCTGATCCCAAGTGCTGGTGAGTCAGCTTTTCTGAACAATGTTTTCCTTCACTTACCACGAAGCCATGGTCGTTCATGTTCAAAATAAGGTTTTGACCCATCACAGCCAGACCAATCAAAGCAATATCAGCTCTGGAATGTGGAGGAATAAAAATTCCAGGTAAGTCTCATTAGCAGTGATCCAGCACTGGCATCCATCCCCCTGCCAGGCTGTTCTGATCTCATCAACTGCTAGGCCAGCCCACCCCTTTCTAACAAATGCTCTAGCACATGCTTCAAATGGGTTCTGTAGGCTGTTAGAGATCCTTGTGACTCCCGTTCAGTCCAGCAGAGTGGAAGCCAACACATAGCTTGTTTCAAGTCACCAAGATTTCTTCCCAACTGCCAAGACACAGCTAGATAAATAAGAAGAGTAAGCTACCCAAAACATTGCACCAGGAGGCAGGGTGTAACGCGAATGGCTCTGTGTCACTGATGGATCCAGCTCTATCACAGCTCCAGATTTAACAGGTGCTGCACCAGAACACCATGTCTGAACACTACACCATTTTTTTAGCTTCTGCCACACAAACGGTCTCAGATTTGGGGTGAGCAAAGAAAGAGGGAAACAGGATATCCTGCTAGAGGTTGCCTAACTCAGCGTACGAGGGGCAGGCACACAGACAACCCCAACCTGTCTACTTCTAGACATTCTCAGGATATTCTAGATATTCAGGATATTCTAGACATCTCCTAGATGGTCCTCAGGAACAAGTTTCCTCCTTCGTCACGACTCCGAAACCGACCGCTCCCGGATTTGCTCACTAAGTCTCCCAGCCAACCGGCTTATTCTCCCTGCTGGTCCCTCAGCCGCCGCGGAGCCTCTAACGGTGAAAAGCCAACCCGGCGGCTGGCGGGCCCCGTCCTCCCCTTCCTTGTCCCTCTCGGGCACACCGCAGAACCGGCCAAACAGGAAAGCGGGGACGGCAGGGAATCACCCGCTTCCCCGCCGAAAAACTCGTTTTTTTC